ATTTTAACAGTGTTATTCAATGAAACCATACGATTATTATTAATTAACCAATCATTATTGCCTCATTGTTTTTATATAATACATTTTATGTCATTTTAAAGGTTGTTGTTCGCTTAGGTCTGTTTTTATTTACACAAAAATATTATCTGAATACTTCGTAAATTATTATTTGAAGCGATTTGAAGTATCAAAACCATGGTTAATTTGTGGTTACAATACCATTGCTACAAGAACCATGTGTTTTTTTTTTATTCGTAGTAAAATTATGGTTAATTTTCGTAAGGGAACATGGAAACTCTGAGAGAATATTAAGGCAGATGCGGCGGTGATATTATTACCGACATTAAAAAACACTATGCAAGTGTAACACTATACCAACATTAAAACATGTTATTAACGTCAACATCCAAAAAAGTTTCACAGATCAACGTACCTAAAAGTGATGCACGGGCTTCATCTTAGGCTTTTTTTTCTTATCTTTCAATTTAAAAAACTGCGTGTCATTCTAAAAAGCTCAATGTGAAAACACTTAAAGTGCCTTTAAAACAGTGATATTAAAAGATCAAATTCACTACACCTTATTGATGATGCGTGCTTTATACAGGCAAGCAGATGAGCTCGGAATATGAACGCAATGTGCTAAATGGTTTGCTATGGGAAAACTGGGAAAACATTTAACGTGAAACTTTGCGCATTGCGTTTATATTCTGGGTTCATCTGATTGCCTATGCAAAGTATGCATCATCAATAAGGTGTATATACTGAATTTGGCCTTTAAATATCACTGTCTTACCACTAATGCAAACCTCGTAAAAAATACTTGACGGTCAGTGGAGGAGAGCCTTGTTTTGCCCTCCAGGTGGGCGTTCCTGTAAGGGTGTGACGTCGCGTGACATTACTCAGGTCATGTTTAACGCGGCCATGTCACGTGATACCCGTTACGTTTCTCAGCGGTTACTGGGATTTTGTAAGTATATTGTTGGACTTAGTTGAACTCATAAATCAATATATTCAAAGGAATATACTTTTAGCATACAAATTTCTCCAATGAGACAAAAAGGTCTTCATATAAGAATGTGGCAAAGTTATGAAAATCAAGCGTTCATCCCTTGCCGTAGATGGCGCCAATCACCAAATACAGAATAAATGCACTATTATTTTCTCTGCGCTGTCCTTGTTGGCGCCATTAATGATTAGTTGCCCGAAGTTGAAAGGTGTAACTTTTGGTGTAACATGTAAGTTAAGCGAGGGCCAAGATGAACACGGCGCTGAAACACTGGAGGGAGGCGGCGACGGTGATCTTGGCGGCCGGGCTGAGACGCGCTCAGAGCGCGGACTCTCTTAAAACAGGTCTGGAAAAAGTCACTCGTATAGCGCACAAATCTGCCTTTGATTATCAAGTGCTACTGCTGAAACGGAGCGGGAACAGCGGGTTCATGCCCAATGCCTACGTGTTTCCCGGGGGGCTGGTGGACGCGTCTGACTTCTCCAGCGAGTGGCAGGAGGTCTTTAAATCCTTTACGAAAGTGCCCTACTACGGCATCGGAGTTGCGAAGCAGCCGCCGGAGACCAGACCACCCATTTTCGCCACTGACAGAGCGCAGCTGGGATCACCCATCCCCGGAGACGTGGCTTTCAGGATATGTGCGGTGAGAGAGACGTTTGAGGAGTCCGGTGTGCTCCTGGCGGTCCCCAAACACGAGGAAAGCGGGATTCGCGTGCGCACAGATGATGCTCGGGACAGTGACCCCCAGCCAACCCTGACCACACTGAGCAGACTGTGGGACAGAGACGTGCTGTCCAAGTGGAGGTCTCTGGTTATTAGTGACTCGGCGAATTTTATTAAGATGTGCAAGGAGATCCAAACAAAGTTTCAACCTTTCTGCAAATATAGTTGATAACAATTTAGCATCATTATTAATTAATGATATGGGCCTCCAATTTTCAATACTAAGTGGATCTTTACCTGACTTTGGAATAAGGGCTATTAAACTTGGCACCATTTGCTCAGCTTCCAATATTTCCTGAAAAACATGTAAAAGAAATACAGAGAGATCTTCCCGAAAGGTTTTATAAAATTCAGCGGTTAGACCGTCATTACCCGGTGATTTATTCTTCTTCAGTTTGGCAATATTTTTGTCGATTTCATCCAGTGTTATTTCCTTATCACCAATCCTTGCACAAGTCAAGGTTACGCATGATGACGAAAGCACGTTAGTGCTAGCCCTCCCGGAACTCATAGAGATTGCATTGCAGCGCCTGCAGTTCGAAAAAAATGATCTTTGTATGGAAGTCTATGAGAGCACTCGGGGCGAATCTCAGTCTGACAGAAATCGCCCAAAAAGGGGCGGTACTACACAAAACGCGACTCGACATTGGACTATTTAGAGGCAGAACAAACAGTCTAGAACAGTGAAAGCTAGCGTAACACTGGTTGAATGTGAAAGAAAAAAAATCCCTCCCTTTTGCGCTTTGGTGGTGCGTCGCCCAATCGCCCTAATGGAGAAACCGCCCCTTGGCTAGACTATAACATACAGTAATGTAATTCAATTTTTTTTCCTGACCGTAACAACCAGACAAAAAGTTAAACGTGAGTGGATACCGTTTTGCAACCAATTTATTTGCAATGTTCGCTAACATTAAAGGATGCAAGACATACTTGGCATATTGTTTTTACATGGAACTGAATGAAAATAGCTTAACCTAAGAACGAAATCAAACACACCTGAACAAGCTAATCAAGGTCTGAACGGTTACTAGGAAGCTACAGGCAGGCGAGTTTTAATTAGGGTTGGAGCTGAACTCTGCAGGACTGCAGCTCTCCAGGACCGGAGTTCGCCACCGCTGGTCTATGGTCTTAAGTACAAATGGTGCTTAACTCTTGGGAAATACACTGCCTTGTTTCTCAGTGGTCCAGTCCCTCTGAAGTGCTGCACAGCTATAAATCAAAGGAGATCTGGATCGCTCCACCTCAGTTCTACGAGCTTGGACGCATGCGCCGGTTTCCAGCTCTCAGAGATCTCCACCACTTTGCCTGGCAGAGGTCTTTGGATGGTTGCGAACAGTGGCTGCCTATTCTCCTGGTGGCGCCTGACTGCTTTGCAAGCATTTTACCAGGTATGTGTGTCAGATAATAAATTAATAGACATTTCTGGTAATTGTCGCCGCTTTATCAGACAAAGTTTCTCTTCTTTAATACATAGGGGATGGTCTGTACCCGGAAAAAGTGGACCCTTCTGGAAGGAGTGGTGGCGTGATGAAAACGGAGAAAAGTCTTGAAGAGCTCCAGCGGGACAGCGCAAACCTGCACCGGATCGTCAGTCAGGATCCATATTCAATAACTGTCCAAATGAACATCACACCCAAGTATAACCACCTGTCTCCTCTCTGCGGTATAGATGTGGACAACCCCTCCAAAGACCATAGTGAACTCTGACACTTACCTGCCAAACAGTGGCACGACTGATGGACAGAAACGCTACGTGGGTTTTTTGTAAATCAGCTCTTTTTCTACCTGCCGTTGTGGCACTTGAGCTATGAGTGTAGTTCAATATATGGTCTCCCTAACTTTTGTCATATAAAGATGACAATGACTACCTTGTTGATGTGACAACTGCTACTACCATGTATTTTTTCATAACTTGGTCATGAGCTCTTAAGTGCATTAAAAAAAAAAAGTCTAACAGATGTAAAGTTTGAATTGTCACAGTTCTTCATTAATGTAATATTGCAGATAAGACAGTAAAAGGAAAAGGCTACTGAATGTTTTCATTTGTTGCAAGCTCTCAACTTTTTCATGCTTTGAGTTTGCTGAATACATGACTCTACAAGCAAACAATAACTTGAACAATGGTGTACAAATATTGCATTTGATTGGTTTATGGCTAGCCTATAACTAATCAATTACAACAAATTTGACCGCAGCAGCAGCTATTGCATATTTATTTATAGCACTGGCTAGATTAATAACTTAATTTTTTTTAAATTAAGTACAATGAGTAGTGAATCATGAAGTGTAAATTAATGGAAAAAGTTCTAAAATCACATTTAAAAAAAAACAACAAAAAACACTGCTGGCATCTTTAAATTCAGAAAAGAAAAAAAAAAGAATTCAGACAGTGTGTGAATGTTTTCAAACAGTTTAATCATACATACACTAAAGATAAACTACCAGATGACTGCTTAATGGGTGTCCATTTTGCTATATTTCTGTAGAGACAGTAGCGTGAAATCCTTAACCAACCTTATACAACACATTTCAGACATTTAATAAATTCTGCACTCTCTACACTTCCAATGAAAACCACACAAATTGAATGACAAAACTTAAAAAAAATAAAAAAAAACTTAATTCAGTTAAAGGCTGTTTTGTGGAGTTTGCATTTGTTTGGTTACTTTGTACAGGTTGATGTTTGGTCATGGTGTTACTGTCTTACATGCTTCTACTTACTGGGATTTACATTGTGAAACAGCTTATGAAGTAGAAAAGGCAAAATCTGTACAAATCTTAAATGTTAAATACAATCACTCTGTACCAGTAATGACAAACATCCCACAGGAAAATTTCTCAGAGTACATTTAAACTCACAAAACAGCAGCTTAAAATCTAAATAGAAAACAACCACCTCAACCCCCAATTAGATTAGTCTGTCAGAATACATCTTTAAAAAGAAAAAGACTTCCAAATGTAGCTCTTTATTCATGGAGACATGCCTTTAAACGAAAGGCTAAGGGGGCGAAGCTTCAGTTGAGCTCTACCAATCAGTCCAGAACTTCACAACTGATATAGAAGTCAGAATGGGAAAGAAAAAAAAAATGCTTTACCAGTAATGACAAACATCCCACAGGAAAATTTCTCAGAGTACATTTAAACTCACAAAACAGCAGCTTAAAATCTAAATAGAAAACAACCACCTCAACCCCCAATTAGATTAGTCTGTCAGAATACATCTTTAAAAAGAAAAAGACTTCCAAATGTAGCTCTTTATTCATGGAGACATGCCTTTAAACGAAAGGCTAAGGGAGCGAAGCTTCAGTTGAGCTCTACCAATCAGTCCAGAACTTCACAACTGATATAGAAGTCAGAATGGGAAAGGAAAAAAAAATGCTTGCAAGCTCTGTAAAACAAACCAACTGTATGGTTGTAACACATTTTCATTAACTGAACAACATCAAGAAGAGCATATGATTTTGCTGTTGTAGGCACAATAAATTTATACCTAAGGACTCATTTGAAACACACTTCAATTTTTATAACAATACAGTTAAAACACTTTAACCCATAACCTAAACACACATTGTATTGTTTTTTTTAAATCTAAACTTAACTATCAAAATGAGACCACATGTCATTGTATCAGGAGCCATAAGCATGATGTGAAACATACTGAAAAGGTAACCAACAGCAACATGCAAAACTTTTGGCACCACTTTATTCAGCTTGACTTTTTGAAACAGAACTAGAGCACATTTTGCTGAGGATTTCAGTGCACTTACAAATAACCACGCATGCTTAATATTTACCTGTGACAAGAAATTCAACTCTGCTCATTCTATGCATTATTTCAGACTAATCCTGATTTTCACACAATAAGGAAATGAAAAACACGTGCCTGTGTTGGCTCGACACAAAGAAAAAAGGCAATTCAAGTGTCTATTGTAATGTCACGCTGTTAATAGAAACTCCCAAAATTACATCATGCCAACTAACCTAACACAAAATTACAACGTTTATCCTCGATTTCAGCAAAATGTGACGAAAACATCCTCTAAAAGTTTTAGAACTAACAAGTGAGAGAAAGAGGTAAACACACCCACACTTGAACACACAAGTGATTCTATAAACTGAAGGGCTGCTTTGAGAAGAAAAACAAAATCAAAAAGGAGTACAATTAGAAGCGTTAGGAAGACTGCTTAAACGATAAAAATCAATAAAGAAAAAAATCGGAAAAATGAAACGAGAATTAAAAACTTCTGCAAAAATCTAGTGGTTATGTTTGTACGTTCTAGAAAAATAGACTCTTTGCTCAGAACAATTTTCATGAAACTTTTTACACTTTTAGCAGTCTTTCTAACGCTCCCTATTGGCAGCATAAATGACAAATGAACATCACACAAAGAAACAAACAAAATAAGTAATCAATAAGCGTCAAAAGTTAACAAAAAGGTCAAGTGTGAAATTTCAAGCGTCAGAGAAGCGAAGAGGACAACGGACTGGACGATGAACTTTTGACGTCACATCGACATGCTAGGCAAACGATGACAAACGGGCACGAAGATATCTAGAACAAAAACAAAAAAAACGAATAACAAACCTAGGTTAAAGCACAACGGAAAAAGGAGAGGGGATGAAAAAGAAAACCATGAATGATTATTTTTGCATGAGGAGGGGGATTTCAAAGGTGCACACGTCATCTAAACACAAAACATTGAATGCAACACAGGAAACGATGAAGAAAAGTGGGAAGAAAGAGGGAGAGATAAGCACCATGCCAATAGTGAACAAAGGGAATAACATTAAACAACAACAACACCGAGAGACAACACAACCTGCCTACTACAGCTACGACAACACTGTCCTCGACAGCAACATTTCAAATGAAAATGTTCGATTTCTCACAACCGCATTTCGATTTTAGACCAAGGGGAAGAGAGGGAAACAAAAAGAAAAATTGTGCTTCAACGTTTCAGCTCTTTCAGTGAAAGTCCTTTTATTTTGTGCTTCAATTTTGAATTGTGTGGGACTGTGGAATAATGCATATTTGAAGCTGCTCATATTGGTTCTCAATCACAAAACACCTGCCATGGGTAACACAAATGGACACAATTTAGCTACATTGAACAACAACATGATGGGACACAGAGCAAGGAACAGAGGATCATCATTAAACATATACAGACATTTAAGACTTGATGTGTTTGGCACATTAGTGGAACTACTCTGCATTTGTGAGCTGTTTTAAGGCGCACAAATCTGCAGAATTTTGCACAAACGCCAGTCAATCTGCTCTGGATAAAAGGAACAAAACTATGAAAAAAAAATTCTGCCTAACAAACAAAAATCCCTGCCTAGAACAAGTTCACAAGAATCTTTGGATTGGTCAAAATGGTGATTTGTTTTGCACTCAGACATGTCCGAGGCCTTCCCATTTTTCTTCCACTTAATGATTTGTAATGCACGTAAATCATGTGTTTATTTGAACAGAGGCACAGATCAGGGACTGGCCATTCCCTGCACTAGCATCTAAGCGCTTCAAGAGGGGCTTCACACTTGGGTTCAGTCTAAAGCGTCTCTAGTGCATGAAACAAACGGTGAGGCATACAGACCGGCATATCTGTACACGTCGCAATAGCGGCAAACTCGTTTCCTCACCTGGATTGAGATGCGTGTCTGTACTCGTTGAAAATGGATTAATTGCAAATAAGCCAATTCTTGTTAACCTCACAATCTTTCTGTGAAAATAAAAAGCACCGTTAATAAATACAAAGCGTGTCGAACAGTGACGACAATAGTGAGGTAAATGTCAAAACAAAAGAAAATAGCCTACAAAATACAATTTTAACTAATTGCAACTCCGAGCTCAAGTTATGTTGTGAGAAAATTAAACAACCTGGATTGAGATGCGTGTCTGTACTCGTTGAAAATGGATTAATTGCAAATAAGCCAATTCTTGTTAACCTCACAATCTTTCTGTGAAAATAAAAAGCACCGTTAATAAATACAAGCGTGTCGAACAGTGACGACAATAGTGAGGTAAATGTCAAAACAAAAAAAAATAGCCTACAAAATACAATTTTAACTAATTGCAACTCAGAGCTCAAGTTATGTTGTGAGAAAATTAAACAAATGATTTCTGATAGCACATTTCAGCATTCGTCACTACACATGTAAATAGTTTAGAGATATTACACGGAGTATAAACTTTAGACTGAACCGTGGATTTGCTTCAGAATTTAAAAACAACTCTTGGTACAATTTTTTTTTTTTGACTAAACAGACGACTACAACTAGTGAAAAGGGCCACACATCCGTTGAATGCATCCACAAAACTTCACGTTAGGATTCTACAAAAACACTGTCGAATCTTTTGAGTTGATTTTTTTTAAACAACCGTTTTAATTCAGAGAAATTATTTAGGCAATATTATAAAACCTCTATAAAAATAGAAAAGGCATAATAGTTAAGTAATATACACTATCTGGATGTTTTCTTCTCAGTTTCCATAAAAACAATCTCACCTCACGACCCTGCAGGATTCAGATTAGCATCAACAGCCGATTACAATTTGAACACTTATTTACTGCCATGATCAACTAAAACAAGTTGCATGGAGTAACTTATAAATACAAAGTGTGATGAGGATTGCAGGACGAGTCTCAATACACCAGGGTACAAGAGACCACCTGCGAACACCGAGATAAAATACTTGACAAACGTTACGAAATTTCAGTTCAAATTATTCTGACAATTAAGTGGCTATGAATTCAGCAATTGTAAACTTCCTTCCTTCTGTTCTTGGCAGTATCATCTCTCTTCTCCAGAATGCAAATATTGCTAAAAGCTTTAATGCCAACCTCTTGAATTGAGGCGTAGGATAATGTATCAAATGACCATCAAACTAAAAAAAAAAAAACCACACGCGTTGTAGATTGTGTCTTTGTTCAAAAAAATCTATACAAAAGCCATTTTAAAACCATACGCGCTACCATGTGATTCTTCAGCAATTTCCAAAGAATAAAAATCTTGGGTCAAAAATTTTTTTTGTTTTTCTTTGAGGCTTTAAGAAAGGATTCATGAACTGAAATGAAGCACTCTTTCATAGATATTCTTTAGGTATTTTCGTGTACCAGGTGAGTAAAATAATGGGCAAGAAGTTTTGGTCTGACAGAACGGTGAGAATGTCCTGAGCTTAAGTGTAGCATCTCCTGCAAACTACCAATACTGAATGATATAATATATGTGATATAATACCCTTGCTTAGTGTTTGACTTTCTAGAATGTAAAAATATTCATGTGAATAAAAGCAAACAGAAAGCATCAACATTACTGTTGTTAGCTGAGCCCTCCAACAGAATACATAAAACAGACTTTGAAGCAATGTTACATCACCCTCATTGTGAAGACACAGATACATGAAAAATAAATAAATAAATTAGTGAAATAAATACATGAATTAAATAAAAAGGCATCCATGAAAACGGAGTCTAGTGGAGTGCAGCCTGACCTTCCAGATGCTCAGAACAAAATTCAGGTGACTGATTATCTTTTGCACCGATGCAGCAAGCCTCCTTCATTTTCTAGAAAGGCAGCATTGTAGGAGGCATCAGCATTACACTGTCCCAATGTACTACAAGAGTCTAGTGTAAACACAGGAGAACATCTACAGGGGCCAGACCAGTGGTGATTAACAGTCTAAGTGACTGAAAGCAGTCACACAGGCTGGCTTTCATTGTGCAACATCCTTTGATTCAAGATTTATACACAGCAAACTTGTAATATGGCACAATAAAAAAAAATAAAAACAATAATAAATAAAATAAAATAAAAAGATTTAAGGGAAAATAAAAGATCAACAAAACAATTAGATATATAGATGTGAAAAAAAAAATAACTCTTTTCTCCTAGGAACAAATTCTTAATTTGCATGTTGTCTTTGTTTTGAAGGTTAAGAGAGAAGATATGTAGGAAAGGCCAGAGAAGTAAAAGAAGGATTAGGAAAGGCGGGTGTTAAGGGTGGGTGGGGTCATTCTAACTTTCCAACGTCACACTCCACTTACCAGAAAAACTTTTTTAAACCAAGTCCATTTGAGAGTAAAATGACTCAGTATGGCTTGCTGTCATTTTTGGATCGCTTAAGTTGCACCTTCAGTCGCTTCATTCCAATCTGAAAACCGTTCATTGACTGAATGGCTGCCTGAGACGAAACTGGATTGTCGTAACTAACAAAGCCTAAAAAAAACAAAAACAAAAAAGAACAGAACCAGACTCTCGTTACCCACTGCACAGAATATACATCCAAGTCTTGTATCTGATTTCAGAATTCAAAAATCAAGACAAAACAAGCACAATGTTTCTGAAGCGGGGCTCAACTCACCAAAACACTTGCTAAGGTTGGTCTGTTTGTCAATAAAGACCTTGGCAGAGATAACATTGCCGAAAGGCATAAACATCTGCAGCAAATCCTGAGCACCAAACTCTTGTGGCAG